TGTTATTTTTCTGGTATGATACAATGATTCCATTTTTAATTGTTTTATCCAGCTACTGAAGAGCACTGTTTCTTAAGAGTCACTATCACAAATATTGTGGTAAACAGTATAAGCTTGAGCCGATACTTGGATAAAGGCAACTGAGTTGTTACTGTAATCAGATACTATTAAGATCATGAACCTGTAAACACTTTTTGCCAAGTATCGGCTGGGATGTTACATATGCAAATAGCCCCTTAGAGTTCAATAGTATTAGTCATGTGTCTAAAATTTCTACAAATGGAATCACTGGTAAGACTGGTACCTTAATGTGTACCTGAGTCAATCAGTATTTGAAAAGAATAGTTACGCATGGAGTTGACAACAAAGTTGTCTTCCTAGGTGGAGGGTGAAAAACATTTTTGGGGGTGTTCAGCGTGCGTGCGCATACCACCCCCAGCAGGTAAGTCTGTGGGGGAAGTGCTGGGGGAGGGGAAAGGGCTGTGGTGGGGGCATATTAAGGCCCCAGTGGTAAGGGAAGGAGCAGGACACAGGCAGGAGCAGGGGCTGTGGTGAGTGGGTCCCTGGTAGGACAAGCAGAGGCCACATCCATCCGTCCATCGTCACCCACCCGCAATCTGTGCGTGGAGCGGAAGCAGCTGCTGCTACGTACTGGGCTTTGAGCCCCACTGCCCCGAGAACCATGCAACACCATGTGTCCCGCCACTGGGTGGGCAGGGGGTGTGTGGCACAGCCCAGCATTGGCAGGCACATGGCGTCAGCTGCTCCTGGAACAGCAGCAGCAAGGAGCAAAGCAAAGCGCTGGGGCTTTGACCTTCCCCCATCTCACAGCAGTGAGGGAGAGAGTGGGGCTGGGGCTGAGGCAGGCCCTACACAGCCAGAGCAGGGCGCAGGATGGAGCTGCAAACAGCTTGTCCAGGGAGTGCCCAGCATGAGGAGGGGATGGCAGCTCCCACTACTGCATGCACCCCAGAAAGGCAGATCTGCACATGGGGCAAAGGCAAGTTTCCAGCAGTAGGACGCACATGGCGTTGGACTCGCACTGCTCTTGAAGCAGCAGCAGTGAGGAGCGGAGCAGATCCCAGCCCGCAGCAGCAACCCACCTTCACTCTGCGCACAGATCCGTTGGGGGGCGGGGACATGACAACATGCCCCACCCTTGGCTCCCCTACAGTGTGTGCAGCAGAGGGCACCCCCTGAAATCCCTGGATGCACAGCTCCCTGAGGCCCCCAGGACCACAGTTAAGGCCCCAGCCTCCCTTACCCCACCCGAGCTAACCTGCCACACACCAAAGTGCACATGGCATGGGTGTTCCCTGGGAACAAGTAGCAGAGGCACAAAGTGTGCCATTGCTACTTGTGTCTGGGGAAACAAACATCTACACTAATCTGGACATGGCCAATAGCACAGAATTGTTTTCAACACTATGGTTTCCTATTTAAAATCTCTTGGTTTATCTTGCAAATCATGCTTACATACCTAACAATGTATGGCACCCCACAGCAGCTTTGAAAGGATCTCAAAGTACCTCAGGGTACTGTGGCACCCTGGTTGAGAATCTCTGCATTAGCTTCACAACTGGACAGGAAATAAATCTAGTAAATACTCCATCTGTAAGAGAGGTTAGTCTCAGTTGCATTAAAGGTACTATTGCAGCACTAGGAAATGTAAAAAAAAAGGACAATTCATAGTTTCAATAATTTTGCTGCTAGCAGAATTTACAGAACAAATCACTAAGTTTGCATACAGCAATTTTCCATTAGTAAAATTTGCACTCTTCCCTTTCCCACCCCTGTATAAACAAAATATGTCACCACATGAGGAAATCATAGGACAAAAATGGTTAGAGACCACGAATGAGTTTTCAGCTCCCCTCAACCTGCAGGAGAAATTATTTGGGAAGTGAAGAGAATCCGATTCTCAGGCAACTAAACAGATGTATTTAAAACTATTTTGACATTTGCTTTAATTAAAGCTCAGAAATTACTACCAACTCAACTCTGATCTTTTAGCAACTGCAGAGCAGTTTGCATAGTTACAATTTCTACAGCAGCCTTTACCTTTTTCCTGGGTGTATACATTACAAAAGAGTCTTTACGTGTCCATACAACATGGAAACAAATGCCATAAAAATTATGATAATTGCATCTGCCTCTCCTCTTCCTAAAGAGAAATCAAAGGCTGGATAATTTAAAGTGATGTTTAAATCTCACTTTCTCAATACCTTTAGAAGCATCTCTGTAGAACTGTGTAAAAATAAAAAGCCTTAAGGTCTTAACTAATTAACACAGCACTTTGTTTTATTTGTGCAACAAACCTGTAGTTTTGATTCTGAATAACAGTAAAAACAATTTCCAAACAAAGTAAAAATGTGTTAAGTATGATAAATTAGGTCAATGGGTTATCATCACATGAACCCTGTAACATTACAGACCCCAAGTTAAATATTAGCATAGGCCATGAGCAAAGGTAAGTGTAGTAGTATTCCATCTATTTGTTCACTTCAAAAAAATCATCATACAACATAAGGAGCCATGCCACAGAACAGTGAAAGTAATCAGGACTTGCCAACTCTCTAGGCAGCAGTTGATTAGGGTAGCTCCTTTAGCACTGGCAACAATCTATCCACAGCAGTGTGGGGCTCAGCACACCTAATTTACCCTACAGAGAAATTTACCCTACCCTAAAACTCTTCAGTTCAGGTCCTGCTTATTAATGCATCATTTTCCTGGCCTTTACAAATGAAGTCAAAGAAAACTGATATTCTGAACATCCATTCAAAATGCTGCTGTACAGATCATTCCATGTCACCAGTCTTGGCATTCTTCCATAGCCCCCACTTCTCCACCGCATCAAACAGACCGCTTTTCGTTTTCCAGGCCCATCTCAACCTCTCCTAATAGCACATCGGTGGTGCTCAACCCCTGGCCCATTAACTAAATCCAGCTCCGGAAGCCATGGCAACTAATGCTGTCACTGCTTCTCCACTACCAATTTCCAGACCCGTAGGGAGGGAGTCCTGTGGGCCGGATGACATGGACCTGCGTGCCAGATTGCATCAACACATGGCAGTGCTGAGGCCAGACTGAGTGCACTGGGCGGGGCTGGGCTGGCACTCTGCATCCCACCCCCAAGCTGGATCTGGCCCACAGACCAGCCCATGGGGCCAAAAAGCTGAGCACCCCTGTCCTACACCATTTCTCACGCCACCAAAACGCCAACTCCTGCTTCTAACACTTGTTAAACCTGCAAAACAAATGCCTTTGATCCCCTTCCCAGACTGCCAGAGGTGCAAATTTCCACAACCCTGATTTCCTTGTTCTCTTTCAAATTCACCTTTAAAAACTCTCCTTTGATTTGTAACACCTACAAAAAGCTTCACAACTATTAGTTAACAGAGTGCTAGAGCTGCTGCTCATTATGATGACCAATATGGTCTCATTGTTTCCTTGTGCACCCCTGTCTTCTCACCTGTTCTCTCATGCCTGGATTGTGATTTTTTTTTAAGCAGAGCCCATTTTTTCATTCTTTGTTTGTACAGCATTTTGGTCTATGACTGTCTCCTTGGTTCTACTGCACTATAAGGGACAGACCTGCAAGGTTACAAATAAATTTGTATGGCACTTACCATTATGTCTGACCTCAGGCAATGTGAGAGCCCTCACTTTGCAAACTATAAAATAAGGAAAGCAGAACTGTTTTGTCTATAAATCTTTTAAACCCATTAGATATTTTGATCTGAACAAGAAAAGAATTTATGTCCAATGACAGCGTTTCTTCCAGGTAAAAACCTGTTTATTTGTGCAGGCTTGGGACAATGCCTAAAGCCTGGGGCAATGACCTAAAATGAGAGTGAAACAACAAAAGCAGGAAGCTCAGAGAGAGAGTGCAAAGGTTGGCAGGCCATAGTGACAAATGTCTATTCACATTTTCCTCCCAGTCTTTTTACTGATCCCATCTTCTTTTATTGTTGTCAGGGCTTGAGGGTTTTTTTAAATATTTTAAAATATTCTACTGAGCCACCAAAACAGAGAAAGCAGAAAACGCTAGGAATTTGCTTTAAGAATGAAACTCAATGAAATACAGAACTCAAACTGTGCAAGGACATTGTAGGTTCTTCATAAATTCAGGTTTAATAGTCTCAGGTGGCACTAGCAGCAGATGTAAAGGAAACCTGTTGGGTTAAAAACTACTGTTGGAAAGCAGTGTCCCTTACATGCTGGGCAGCTGCATCTCAGTGCACTTGCCATCTTGCTGACGCAACCTGCTGAAAGCTGAAGCCTGCCTTAATTCAACATTTATCAGGCTCATTTGTAATAGGCATTATTAACAAGGTGTAGCAGAAAAGGTGTGAGATGGGGCATACCTGCGGGGAAGGGTTACGGAGTGTAAACAGAAGAGCGACCAGAGAGAAGCTCCCTCAAAACAGGCAAGGACTTACATGAGCATACATAACCCCGCAGTCACAGATAGTCAGGTGCAGCCGCCACAAGACACGAAGTGTATTGCCGGTAAGCTTCTACACCTAAGTGCTGCTTAATCCTACAAAACGTTTCCAGGGCAGAATCTCCCCGAGTGCACAGGGGACCCCCAAGAGAAGCGGGGGGGAGGCCCCTGATTCAGGGGTTACTTGAAGCCTTCGCTCACGGTCGGCTGCCATCACCCTTGCAAGCGTGAGACAGACGAGACCCCGCCTGCGAGCAGCCAGGCACTGCCCCGTCGCAGCTGCGTCCCCTCCCTCTCAGCTCGCTTAGCAGTGACCTGGGGCTCATGACAGGTCTCTGAAGGTGCAGACCCCCGCGCCGAAGGGGCTGGCTGGGCCTGCCAAGGGCAGCTCCGTCCCTGCGGCAGGACAGGCGGCGGGGGGACGCGCGGCCCCTCCCAGCGGGCCCCGAGCCCGGCCCCGCTCCGCGGCCGAGTCAGGGCGGCGCCGCGGCTCCCTCACGCCCAGGGCTTTCCTACGGCAGCGGTTAGACACCCCACCAGGCCGGCCGGGCCTCACCTGCTCCTGCTCCATGGCGCGGGGGGCGGCGGCGGGGGCACAGTAGAGAGTGATTGCGGACAGCCGCTGCTCCATCCTCCCCCTGCCGAGCCCGAGCGCAGCGGCGGCCGCACCAGACCGGAGCCGCCTCCGCAGAGACGGGG